CACCCTTATACTGTACTACTTCTCAAGATACTGAAATAGTAATAGTTTTTACTTTATGGAACACGAGGACTAAATGAAACAATGTATGTATAGCACTAAGTTTTGGGGTCAGCACAGAGTGAATTTTCAGGACTGTAATATAAGGTATTACCACTTGTGTGTCCAATACATCCTAGGACTAATACAAGCATCTAGTTTAATCCTCACAAAATCTTTATGTTATCATCTAAATGTACAAGCTGTAAAGAAATAAGTTGCCTTGATGGGAACAAGATAATGAATGTCAGAACCAGGATTCGGATTACGTGTCCTGATTCCATGGCGAATACTCTTTCTTCTACATCATTCTCTCTCCTATGTTCCATGGTACTATATTCTAGTAATGTAGTTATTGGCAACAAAATGATATGTGTCACTAGGATGTGTCTTCTTCATGACAGAGGTATGGTTACATGTGAATATATATTTATGAAGGTGATTTATTGTTAATTAGAATTGCAATCTTTTTTGGGTATTAATATTCAATAATTATATAGGAGTCTGTGAGAATTCTTAAGTCTTTTTATTAGGGTGAAGTAGATCTAAGATATTGTTTTTTTTAATATCATTTAAATTATTTAGCATCAGTATACTGATTGAATACAGTAATGTTTGAAATAGAGAATTCATAAGCTAAGAAATCAAAAGGGGGACTTACAAACCAAGATGGGTCAATCGGCCCATTGTGAGATGTTAATCAAAGCCTGCATGGATTGTCACTTCAAATTGTACTCACAATTGCAATCTGTTAGCCTCTGGAATTTGAAAGTCGGTTTCTGCCAATCCGATCCACGGGGATACCAAATCGCCTTTTTGGATTATCTACTACTTTCCTAAAAACGAGCCAAAAATAACATTTTTAAGCTAAATTCCAAGTCATCAATCATTACTTTCACACTTTTATTTCATATATATCTAGTGGCTTTCTACCAGGGTTGAAATAACTGTGAGAGCTTTCATTCATCAGCACCCGCTCTGTGTCAGACACTAGCTCATATCTTTTCAACGTCTGTTGAAGTAGGTCTGACTACCTCTGTTTTACTTCTGAGGATACCAAAGCTTAGAGAAATTAAATAACTTATCCAAAATCAAGTTGCCCAGATGAAAAGCCAGGTCTTACCGGCATACCAACTTGCTGAGTGTTTAGTTTGGGTAAGTCCTTTTCTCTTTTTAAGATTTTGGTGTTTTCCTCTGTTAACTGAGGAAGGTTATACTAGGTCAGTGGTTTTCCCAACCCCTTTCTCAGAATGGTTCTTCTTTGGAAGGGTGGTGGTGGGGGAGGAAAGTACTGATGCCAAGACTGAATGTGGAGTAAGTGGGCCTCTCATGTCTTCACTCAGATTTTACCTAGAGGAGCTTTGTCTGTCTGTGATGGTCTACGTTTGTTATACATGCTCTGCGTCAAATATTGCTTGGGAAAAAATATTTCATTATTAAAATAAAGTTTAAAAAATTCCTTCAGGAGGCCTTACGGTTTGTATATTCCATAAATTATTTCTTTCAAAAGAAACATTTTAGCTTGATTTGTTGTTGTCATCACTTGGTGCTAAGAAATTTAGCAGGAAAGGTCCCAGAACTTTGAGTGCATAATGTTCACTGACCTTGGAATTAAAAGAAGTTTTCAGTCGTCTAAGTGAAGATAGAAACTGAGAGAAGCTAAAAGAGCCTGTGTTAGTGACTTGTCTCACAGCTGATGGCAGTTGACTTACAGATTTGTTAGGCTTTTTATTGGTATAATATACATGTAAAAAGAGGACAAATATTTTATAAGTGAATATTATTATATATGTACAGATTATAAGCACAATAAGGACCCAAAATCAAGCACAGAACACTACCAGCAGTTAAATACTTCTGGAATAGGAAAGAGTCTTAAAGGTTATTCTCCCACAAAATATTAGAATTTCTGCTTCAATTTTTGACCAGCACATCATTTGAAAATCTCAGTGACGAAAGGCTAATCACCTTATAAGACACCTTAGTCAATATTCAACATTTTAAAAGATTAAACAAGGTTTGTTTCAGAACATTTTCAGCAGCTTCTTTAGTTTTTTCTACTTACTTGTTTTATATTGTCAATATATACTACATGATTTAAACACTAAAAATGAATGAAAACTACAATATCTATGATTTTTTTATAGTATCATTTACTATGTAACTGCTATGTATAAATTTCCTTTTGTGGTCGTCTTGGGATCAATACGTCAGAAATAGTCTTTGCTTTCAAAAGCCTGTAAGTAAGTACTGTAATATTGGCAATGATTTTATAAAAATAGTAGAAGAAAAAATCCTCTCATTTTTCTTGATGCCTGGTTTTTAACTTAAGGCAAAATTTTTCAATTTTTCTCATATCACTATTAGGTAAATAATTTATTTTAAAAACTCTGAAGGGGATAAAGAACAATGAAAATGAGAGGTTTTTATTACTGTATCTTGCACATAGAAAATTTTGTAAATGTTGTTTAATTCTAATTAAAACAGTTAATTTGAAAGCAATTAATATTTATGTAATGCTTTCAATATGCTAAGTACTGTACTTAGTGCTGTGTATAGAAGGATGATAAAAAATAGGCATTGAACCTGATGGGGAGCTTACCCTCAAGTGATATTATAGAAATAGAGTCATATTATTTGTTTTTAATCTAATGTAGCCTTCTTTTCTGCTGATTCACATCTATCTTCCTTTCTAGGCTGGCCCTTAGTTTTGCTAGTCAGTGCAGACAGCATCGGATGCGTGATCTTATAAGACTGTCTCTTAGACAGCAGTTTGATCAACAGGGGAAAATCTGGGGAAAAAATACTTAGTACTTATCTTTAACCCATCCATATTCTACTCTTCAAATTTCTGAAAAACACACCCTCTTAAGTGGTGCCTATTGTTTGCACTTCTGGATTTCTTGATAAAGTAACTACATATTTTTTCAATTTGATAATCAACTGGGAAATATCTGTAAAATTAGCCCAAAATTAATTGTCAAGAGAAATAGGAAACCATGCATGTGAGTTGTGCTGTAGGTCTTCTGATGTAATTATAAATAACGACTGTTGAAAAAATGTCTTCTTTATATTTTTAAATTATTTTTATTCACATAAGTAAATTTATAGACTCTTTACTTAAGCAGTTGTTTTCCTGTGGTCACAGTAATGGTCCCCCCCAACTCTGCTGCTGTAAAGGATGTCTGTGTCACAATCCACAGAATCTGCAAATATGTCACCTTGCTTAGCAAAAGGGACTTTGCAGATGGGATTAATAAAAACCTTGAGATGAGAAGATTATCCAAGATTATCTGGAAGGCCCTGTCTAGTCCTTAGAAGTGGAGGACAACTGAAGAAGAGTCTGTCAGAGAGCTGCAGTCTGAGACCTTAACCCACCAGGTTGCTGGTCTGGAAGGCGCAGGAGAGAGCCACAAACCAAAGAACTCTGTGGCCCCTGGTTGTTCTCAAAAGAAAATGGGGACCTCTGTCCTATAACCAAAAGGAACGGAATTCTGCCAACTTAAATGAGCAGGAAATAAATTCTCTCCTAGAGCCTCCAAGAAGGGGCACAGCCCACCTACCCCCTGACTTCCTCTGTGCCTTGCTGGTAGACCAGCTGAAAGAGACAGCCCAGAGCAGCACACAGAGGAGCCTTAGGGGCCACCCACTGGTTGGCAATCAGTCACGTCGAGGTTGGACAGAATGATACGTGGTGACCGGTGAAGATACACTGGACTTCTGACCTACACAACTGTAAGATAACCAGTTTGTGTTGTTTCCAGTCCAGAAGTTTGTGGTAATTTATTACCATAGCAATAAAAAATATATATAGTTGTATGATTTAGGGCTGATGTTTAAGTGTTATGTAGCTAATAACCCCCCCCTCAAATTAAACTGATGGGATTTTTATTCCTTGAAACCTTAAATTCCTTCACGGACTACTCCCATTATAAGTCTAGGGAAGGGGTAAGGCAGAAGCTGCCTGAGGTTGGAGAATAGTGCTCAAGGAAAGTCCCAGACAAACAGGAAGAGGAAGTGAGAAACCAGCCCTTCCAGATGTTTAAAGGACTGGTGAGAAGAGGACTTGGCAGCTGGGAAAAAAGTAGTGCCCCACGTGTGAGCTGACCTCCCAAAGCATCTGCAGAATGAAGGGCGCCACAAAAAATAATCCTTTCACTTTTTTAAAGAGGAGTCTGATAGTCCCATACATCATTATAAATTAGAACAGAACATTTATTAGTCCATACTACCAATGTATTTTTTTCAAAAGTGACTTTAAAATAAATGAAAATAACATTTTTTTTCATTACTACAATTAATCTACTTTTCCTGCTCAAGTAAAGGAGAGGGAGCTGTGGTATGGTGAAAAACAAAACTAACCCCTTCTTTTTTCTTCCTTCTTCCCTGATTCCCTGTTCTTTCCTTTCCTTTTTTCCCCCAGATTTGATAAAAAAAAGTATTAGAAACCAGGAGATGGTTGACTTTGATTCTATTTATTTCTCCTACTTACCAAAAAACAACAATAGCTCAGTAAGTTAAATAGTTTTTATATAGTTTCCACCTATTCAGAAGCCAAATGGCAAAACAGTATTTAACATTTCTTGCTGATACGAAATGTATGTAACACATACACTGACACAGTATGTAAAATATAAATGTTAACATAGGAAAATACTCTTAAGACCAAGAGGGAAAACTGTACTTTCTGACTATCTAGTCCCTCTTGTGACAAAATAACGGTATAACACGGCTTACATAATGCATCCATTTAAAACAATCCACCTTTTCCTTTCTACAATATTCTGAAAGTAGTTTAAGGATACAGAATGTCTATCAAAGTAGTGTAAGGAAGATGGATTATTGTAAATATAACTTTGAACTTCACGCTAAAATACAGACTTCTTGAGCCAAATAAGATTTTCTTTCAAATTTATATTCTTTGATAATTCAGTTTCTAAAGGTGTTTGACATTCTAAAAAACTATCAGAAAACTTGGATTTAAACTTTTTGTATAGAATCACCTCACACAGACAAGAGCCTATAAATTTATCTGTGTGCAGTTGAAAAAATAAAATGAACATCCCTATTGGTAGCACCAAGTTAAGAAATAAATATCACCAGTGCTTTAGAAGTCCTCAGTGTTCCTCCTCCCAGATTGACTCCCTCTCATGGCTTAGTCCCAGATGTAATCTGTAAGATGAATTTTGATTTAATATCTCCCTTGGTTTTTCTTTATAATCCTTCATGGCTTAGTCCCAGATGTAATCTGTAAGATGAATTTTGATTCAATATCTCCCTTGGTTTTTCTTTATAATCCTTACGTATTCTTGGTTAGTTTAGATGATCTTAGAATTTTATTTGGAAGAAGTTATGTGTGAATTCTTTGACTTTTTTCAGCAAATATTATGTGTTTTGAGATTTGTCCATGTTGACATGTGTAGATGCAGTTCTTTTATTTTACTTATGTTGTAAAGTAATTCACTGTGTGAACATACAAAGGCTCATTACTGTGTTTTACTGTGAAAGGGAATTTGAGGCATTTCCTTATTGTTATTATTCTTACGTACTGTTCAACTAAAACATTTCTTACACGTGTCTGTAATGCACGTTTAAGGATTCCTCTCTGGTATACTTTTAGAAGTAAGTTGCTCACTCTGCCTATAGTTCATTTTATTACCTAGTGCCAGACTGTTTTCCAAAGTTGTTATATCCATTTACACATCCAGAGCAGTGTACGACAGTTCTTACTGTTTCAAATCTATGCTAACCCGTGCATTGTGAACCTTTAATTTTGCCAGACTAATGCATTTGTTATTGTATCTCATTGTGGTCTTAGTTTGCTCTCTACAAATACTAATGAAGTTGCACATCTTTTCCTTCAATTATTGGCCACTTAGGTTTCTTCTTTTGGAAGTACCTGTTTAAGTCTGTTGTCTGTTTTTCTATTGGTTTGTTTTTCTTTTAAATATTGATTTGTAGGAGTGTTTCTTATACTCTGAGTATTAGACTTTGTCAATTATAAGCAAATATATTTTTCCATTTATGGTTAATCTTTTTTATTGTGTCTTTTATGAAAATCTTTAATGTTGTCTTAAAATTTATCAACATTTTTACATTTTGTTTATTAAATCATCTCTATAATGTTATGAAAATACTCTTTCATGTTGTCCTAAAATCTTTTTGAAGTTTTGCCTTTCACATTTGCATTTTTAATCCTTTTGAAATTATTTTTTATTTATGGGGTGACATAGTGGTCATGTTCCTTTCTTCCGTTTTTCTCTGTATCTGTAGCTAATTATTCATAAATTTTAGATTCAGCTTGTCAAGTTTCATGGAAAATCCTTTTGCAATTTTACCTGGAATTGTATTGAAGTTAAGGTATAAATAAATTTGGAGAAAATTGAAATCTTTATAATACTGAACCCTGCCATCCATGATCAGTTATTTAAGTTATCTTTAATGTTTCCTTATATTTTTTATAATTTTCTCCATAAAGATCTATAATTTTTTGGATTTGTTGCTTTTTTAAGTGATATCACACGCATTCAGAAATAAACCAGGAGCACTGAAATCAAATAATGAGATTGAAAGGATTTACTGTAAAGTACCCAGGCATGCTTGATTTGGAAACTACTGTAGGGCTGTTGGATTAGCCAGAAAGGATTTTCACTTGCTTGGCTCATGAACCTCTTTGAGAGGCTAATGACACTTGAAAGTTCTATCCAGAAAATGAATTTACACAAAAAATGTCTTCTAGAATTTTCTTTTGGGGGGGGAGTGGGTAATGTACATTTCAAAGTCCATATAAAGAATCAAGTATTACCTCTTTTGGGAGAAAGTTTTAAACCTTCATATACGAGTTAGGGTAGAGGGGAAAAGGTAAAGCAACTGTGTCTTTCTGTGAAGTTGAGATGGGGTGGAAAGAGGCAAGCAGTAGAGAGTAGTTATTGGGAGAAATGGCCCGAGATCAATGCTCAAGGCATTTCCTAGAGCATAGCCAGGCTTTTCAAATATGAGGAAGAAAACATGGAAATAGGGCACCACACTCTGAATCCTTGTTCTGTGGTTTCCACTCTGAAATGAAACCCATTTTTGAACTACTTCCTTTGGGAGTTAACAGTTAAGAACTGGAAAAGAAATAGCAATCGTGAGATACCTAGGATGGCCTTGGTCTGGGGCACGGCTTCCTGATGAATTAGAGAGGTGAAGTGCTAGGATTTTTAACCTTTAATCTTTGGCCCTGTCATCGAGAAGGGCAATCGTATCTGACAAATTAAAGCTGGAATTGTCACTCTCAACTTTAGCCTGAACTTTTGTGTCTGGCTTTGGATAGAAACACATACATCATTTGTATGGTTTTTCCAAAACGATTTCTTTAATGCATGCATTCTAAGTGAATCTCACTGTTACTGACCTTGGACAAGTGCCTTCTTCACACATAACTTTAATTTCTTTACATAAGCAGCTTATTTAAGTGGAAAGTCGTTGGTGTTCAAGCTAGGTTATCTCAGGGTTATTATTTTATATCTGTGAAAGTATACCAATAAAATGAGGATAATATTTTCTTAGGACATTATAGGGATTAAAAAAACTGTACCAGAATGTTCAAATGGGGTTCTTTCTATCTCAGCTTTTGGCTGTGGCCCAGAAAAGCTGAGGGACAAAAAGAAAAAAAAAAAAAAAAGAGAGAGTAGTCGTTCCTCTTGGATTCCAAAGTGAGGTGCTAGACTTTTGCAGTATTTGTAAAGGAGTTTGCTACAAATCGTTTTTCCCAACTTTAATCCACTAAAAAATGATATTGAATAGATAAAGAAGGAGGATTTCTCTGGAGCAAGTTATTGAAGAACAGTGACAGTTCCGCTCTTCTTTTGATAGAGAAAGAGTTTCAAGAAAAGCTTGACATATACCCACTGAAGCAGAGTAGACCCCATAGAACAGACTGTGAAATCTAAAGCACAGAGTGAGGAGATGGGTTACACAAGATGGGTTACAACTTTCCTTTCAGTGACCAGAGTCAAGGATGTGGGTTTTCTGGGGAGCAGATAAAGAGCAAGCATGTGGGTAGAGTTGGTCTAGGTTAATTATAAAAAGCAGCTTCCCCGAAGGGCTGCCTGCCTGGGGTTATGGGTGAGGTGACCTCAGCAGGATGCTGGTAGTGGTGTCAGATGAAGAAGCTGAGAGGGTAGGGTGACAATGAGGAGGAACACTGACCTGCACGAAGAGAAGCATTGCTGGAGGCAAGGGTATTTATGGCAGTGTTCTCAGCAGGGGGTTATACAATGACCCCACAAAAACAGCCCATGGTAAGTTGTCAGCTTTGAGCATTTCCTGAGGCCAGAGAGCATACAAATCAGGTCATGGTGGTATCAGTCATGCACAACTTTTCTTTACCTCTCTGCACCTCCATCCCCAGTGCCTGGGGAGACAGAAGGCAGCTTACTGCGGCTGGGAAGGGGTGAGGAGAACCTGACTGCAAACCGCTTTCCACTGCAGCTTTCCAGCTTGAAAAGGAGAAACTTTAATAATACTCAGAGTTTAGTCTAGGACTATGAATGGTTATTTTAATTACTTAAATACAGTTATTTTTCTAATAAAAATGAGGGGCCAGATATTTCTTATTTCAATGTGACCTGCAGAGCCATAGTACCTGCCTTTGTTTTTACCCAAGAGATAGGAAACAGCTAGCACTGAATGTGTTTGAATGCATGTGGGTGGGAGATAAAACTGCTTTTCTGATTATGTCCTATGGAGTCCTCCTCTTTCAATTAAGTAGTTATCACAACAATGATATGGATACAAGTGTTTATTGACCTGATTCTGTAGGATGTGTGTAACTGTGCTGAGTATCTTCTGTCTGCTCACCAGATATATTCTCTGCCCTTTCTCACTCTACTTTCAGTCCAGAAAACTAACCTGTCTGAATCCCAGAAAAGTTCCTGCGCTCCCTGTCTTTGGTTTGGGGCAGGCAGTGAGCAGCTTTGGCAGGAGAGACCGGAAGGAGAGAGGAAGTGAAAATCAGAATAATTCTCCCCTCACTCCTTCCTTGCAAGATCACTTCCTCTTTAACCAAAGGTCAGGGCTTCTTCAAGGCATCTGACTCTTCAGTCCAGAGTCCTGGGTTGCTGCTCCATCCGTTGTGATTTGTCTCTACTCAGCCTTTTGAAAATAGTCTTGCTGTGTCTAAACCATCCTTGTATTTTCCTGTTTCAGATATGCTACCTGTTTCCTGCAGGAACCCAGACTGACACAATAGTACTACTGTTTTGCTGACCTCAAGATATTAATGGCAGAATTAAAACAACAGGAGTTGTGAAAATGTTTCTAGCAATTAAATTCAAATATAAAGTATTATACTATTGTTAATGTTTTACGAGGCATTTTCAGTATTGTGTGAAGTGAGGGAAACCATCCTTTAGAAGAATTCCACGCAAATCATCAACATTTTCTAATTAAAAGGTTTTTTCAAAGAGTAGATAATATTTTGCCAGGAATATTGTCATAGCTGCTTCTTTTTATTTGCATAAACTGAATGTTCACTAACTTCAGGCTTTCAGCAAGTGAACTGAATGAAGAAAATATTTTGGATTTCAAAGAATGATTGAGCTAACTTTGTGTTGAGAGTTAAAGTAATTCTCACATCCAATTGAAAATGAAGCTAGGGTCATGTTTAGATGAAAAAAATGTTGACTATCATATAAAATGGGAAATAATAGATGGCTCTCTGTTTCATTTCAATATGATCTGATACTGACTTTGCCCTGTTTAACTTTTTAAATATTTCTTTTCTTTTTTTCTTTTTCCCCTAGCTGTTCTTTCATTCTTATATTTCTATGTCTTATAGACCTTTTTAAAAGCAGAGTTTAAAATTTTTCTTTTCTGAAAACTTTATAGTATGTTAAACTAAAACAATTCATTTCTTATGGTTGAGACAGAGTTTTAAAACCCAGGACCATGTCCCAATGTAATTCAGAGATCCATAAACATGGATGGGAAATGTTATATCTTTAGTTTCATTATCCTCTATTGAAATATAGCATTTTCTTCAGTTATGAATGTAGAAAACAAGTCACAATAGTATTGGCAGTAAGTAGACCCATGCCACAATTAGAAATCACAGATACATTCAGATCACATTTTTGTCATTATGGATACTTTGAAATTGTTTTTATGTTCCGCATTATTTGAAATTATTGTTCTTTTTTAGAAACATCTCAGATCTTATTTTATGCCTGAATAAAGAAGCATATATGTTGTTGTATTACAAAGTGATTTTTTTAAGTCTTTTGATAATTCTGTTTCTATATATTGGTAACCTTGAAATTTACGACTTTTGTTCATTTAAAAACAACATTCTGAGAAGGGGTTCATGGGTTTCACCAAAGTGCCAAAGTGGCATGACACAAATAAAGCTTAAGAATTCCTGGATTAAGAGATGGGTGAGATCTTTGAGCTACAGTGTAGAAAATGAATCTTGGATCTATAACCTTGTCTTGGTGAGTATAAGAAAATAGAAAATGCATGTCTGAGAAGCAGAAAAATTGATGACATATACTTGAACAGCACAGTTGTTTATACGCAACAAAGAAAGTGTTTCGTATACATTCATGCTAGTAAGGTAACAAGATAATTCCCAGCCTTGTGAAGAATTCAAAAACAAGTAAGGAAGAAATAAAGCTGTCTGGACTAAAGGACCAAAGCTATTATCTCATGTAATGTAATCAAAGAACAGCCAATAACTTTATGTACAGCTCTCCTAAGCAAAATTATTATAATTTTTATGAACCTTTTTAATAAAATAGTTGCAAAACTCTAAACTGTGTATTCTTGCTACAAAATATGCAAAAACATTCATTTTAATCCTGTGACTTTATTATATATATTTAAATGATGCTCAAATAATCTTTGTAACAGATGACAGGAAAATTTAACATTTAATTTTGTTTGAGTTAGCATTATACTTTGAAAGAAATCTAAAATTATTATTCAGTTAAAACTCAAGAACGTGTATAGAAATCCATTATGCAGTAGCTATTACTTACCTCCCATTGTTTTCCAACTCTTTAATATACAAATTTAATATTTACTTTAAGACCAAGAACAAGAATTTTTGTAAAAAAAAGTGAATCCTGAGGAAAATTTCACAGGAAGTATCCTTGGAATCTAGTTTGAAGGAGTAAAACATCAACTATGGAAAATAAAAATATAAAAAACTTGTACGTAAATTATAAGTAAAAAAAGAAAATTATTAATTTGTATATGTCACTCTAAATAAATTCTAAATAAAACAATCCTGACATTGAAGGTCACCTCTGTTGTTAAGCCATAGAGTACAAAGGAGCAGTCTGTATTCTGATCTGATCGCACTCATGAAGCAAAATATAGAGTAGAGATTAGGGGAAATCCTCAATTTTTCAAGCCCCTGGGCAAACATCTATGCAAAGGAAAAATAAAAAAATAAGGTCTCTTTAATACTTCCAACCTTCTGGAAGTAGTTGAAGGTAAAGGAAAAGAGAGAAAAAGGGAAAAGAAAACTGATACTTTTTGACCTCTGAAGATCATCAATTACTCTACTTAAATTCTTTCTTTCTTTATACGACACTGGATGGGACCATCACAGTTTGGTTCCAGAGACAATGACTAGGGTTATAGAGGCTTTGTACTGCATAGTCCAGAGGTGACAACCTGAATGATCGCTGAATACAGCATCCCTGTGTGGTCCCAACTGTCCTCCCCAATGTCACTTCTTGTCCTGCTTCATCACACCTGATACTGAGCCCACATCCTGCTATTTAGTCCTCCCAAGAACATGCCCTGAATATTTGAGCCTCTAAGCCATCACTTACATGACTGCCTTTTAACAGAATAATTGTTCTTAATCCAATTAACTTTTCAAACATGGTACTAGTTATTTGGGCCAAAAAATGTTGTTATTGCTGAATTTGACAATCAACTTTTTTCACCAATTCTGGAACATTATTGAAAAAATGCCTGGGGGTGGGTATAGCTCAGTGGAACAGTGGGTCCTTAGTATGCACAAGGTCCTGGGTTCAACCCCCAGTACCTCCACTAAAAAATCTGCATAATTAAAAAAATAGTGATTCTGTTCTTTTTGTCCCCACTAAACTCTAATTAGATTAAATTGTATGTTATAATTTCCCATTCTATTATCCATATTTTTGTGATATATTCTGAGTCATTTTCTCAGAGTTATCATATGATAAATGTATTTACTCTTCTGCCAGATCTGCTTTGTGGTTTATCTCACTGTTTAATTTTATTTCTTTAATTTGTTATGAAGCATTTCAGACACGGACCAAAATAGGATAGAATAACTGACTCTTATGTGTGCATCATTCTAAATTAACAATTACTGATTATGGCAGGTCTTGCTTAATTTATTCCATTCCCACTCCTGCGTTATTTTGAAGCAAATCCTAGAAAAATACCTTCAACTAAACATTTAAATGACAATAAATCTAACTTCAATGTAACTCATCCACAGAATGAGTGGATGAGGTAGAAATTCCCCTTTATAGAATTATTCTAAGCTAACAAATGAAGAAAGAATGATAGAATGTCTCTATTTTGTAAACCCTAATGAAATGATGGCTCTATACAATGATCATTAATTTCAGGTGATCATATTTAAAAGTAAACAATATTTTAAAATTAAACATATTTATTTACTAAGTATAGTTGATTTTTAATATTGTGTTAGTTTCAGGTGTATAGCTTAAGATTCTTTTCCATTATTACAAAATATTGAATATAGTTCCATGTGCTGTACAGTAAATCCTTGTTGTTTATCTATTTTATATATAGAAGTGAGTATCTATTAATTCCATACTCCTAATTTATCCCTCCACCCACCTTGGTAACTATAACTTTGTTTTCTATGTCTGTGAGTCTGTTTCTGTTTTGCAAATAAGCTCAGTTGTATTTTTAAAAAAATTTTTTGTTTTTAATGTTGTTTGTATTTTTTTTTGGAGTGGGGAGGTAATTTATGTGTTTATTTTTAGAGGAGGTACAGGGGCTCAAACCCAGGACCTTGTGGAATGCTAAGTTTGCACTCTATCACTTGAGCTATACCCGTTTATATTTTTTTTGATTCCACATATAATGATATGTAGTATTTGTCTTTCTCTGCCTGACCTACTTCAAAAAGTAAACATATTTAAAAGTAAACAATCGTTACTTAAAATCATCAAGTAGCCACAGTTCACCATTGCCTCATATATGTTAATTTTAAAACATATCATTGTTTGAACTAGGACCTCCCCCCCAAAGTATGATTGGTTAATAAATCCCTTAAAACTATTTAATCTTTTGGATCCCCTTACCCCTCCATCTCCTCTTGGACTTTTTTTTTTTTTTGCAATTCTGTTTTATAGGTAGTATTGAGTTCTTCCATCAGGGGGCATGTAATGACTTGCTATTTTTCCTCTTGTGATGCTAGCAGAAATTGATGATCACTGTCTAGAGCCATCATTTCATTAGAGATTGCCAAATAGACATTCTAATACTATCGTTCCTTCTTCATTTACTAGCTGAAATAATTCTTTAAAGAGGAATTTCTACCTCATCTACTAATTCTATCATTTCTCTCTTTTTTATTGAAGTATAGTCAGTTTACAATGTTGTGTCAATTCCTGGTGTACAGCATAATGTTTCAGTCATACCTATATACACATACTCATTTTCATATTCTTTTTCATTATAGGTTACTACAAGATATTGAATGTAGTTCTCTGCGTTTTCCTTTGATATATATTGTTGCTCTCTTTCATTTTTAATTTATATGTTTTTCTTATATAATTAGTCCATTCTTTTGTTGTCAATCTTTCTAAATCTCTTTGTTTTTAGTTGTGTCACTTAAATGCATAAAAGTTGAATTTTTCTTTATCAGCCAATTTGAAAATAAGTGTTAATTCCATTTACATTTATTGATATGATCAATATTTTTTGAATTTATCGTATTTTAAAGGTTATATTTATACATGATTCTTTCACATATAGTTTTTCACTGTCTTATTTTATGTTGCTCTCTTTTTTATAGGAAAATTTTAATTTTTATTCTTACAGTTATTTTTTGTATTCATATTTTATATAAAAAACTTGGTCATCTTTCTTTTCAGTTTTTGTCTTTTATTCTTTTAGTAAAAGATTCACTAAACTTAGTTTGCAATCTTTTCTTTTCTTTCTTCTCAATGTTCCCAAGCAACTATCTGTGGTAATAATATCCCTTTATTCCCAGTTAATAGCCATGAAACAATCAAAAACTCATTCAAATTTTTATAAGCTCTCACTATTGTCCCTGAATTGTTTGATAATTTGCTGTATCTATATTGTCAGACTGTATACCTATAACACTGGGAGCTCTTGTTTTTTTTTTGCAACTATCATTTGAATTTAATTCTAAAGTTATGCTCAAACCAATTCTTATGATAATATTTCTCCAGTCATTTTGATTGTCTGAAGAAATTAATCTAAGTAGCTTTCTCAGGAAGTGCTCATGAGAACAATATTCTCTAATTTTTGCTTGCTTATAATAGTTTATTTTTAGCCTTTATATGGAAAATCTATTCAAGTGCATATTAAATGCTTGCCAATTTCCCTTTATTTCTTGAAAGCTGAAATATTTTCGAACTATATCTTCTAATGTAGTCTCTCTTTATAACACTTCCTAATGAAACTATGATGAAACTTCAATGTAGTTTATATATATTTATGATATTTATGCAATACAATTTGGTGTATATGCTTATATGCTATTATAAATTCATGTATACATATTTACATAAACATTTATATGTTGATTTTCAAATTATTTAGTAGACTATGTTGCAAGGCTCAAGTTTAGTAGACTATGTTGCAAGTAATACTTATTAGAAGGCATAATATTTTCTTCACTTATATTTGGGATTTCCATGGACTACTTTATAAATTGCCTTTAAACATATCTCTTCTTGCTTTATGTTATAATTCATTATAAATATTTCCATGTTTTTTATTGGTATATGATTTCTTTGAGGGGCAAAGACTATTTTTCGACTCTGTACAACATAACCCACCACAGTGCCTAAAACATAAGTGGAACACGTTTGAATTTGTTCAAATAAACGAGGGTCTGAATTTCAAGATACAGATGTGGGATTTGTTTCAAGTACAGGTAGGATAAATTACAGTCCCAAAGTGATGATTTTATTTCCTGTTGTAGCTTTGAGACCCTTTCAGAACAGAAGTCTAGCAAATTGCATCCTGTATACTAAGAAACATGGAACAGAGTAAAGTCATGGGCCAGGGATAAGCACAGCAAGTTCTGGAGCTACCTGTAACAAGGTGCAACTCAAGCAGTGATGTGGAGACGAGTGCATGAAGTAATGAAGTGCTGGATTATGAAATTCTTCACAGAATTTCCTTAAGGAGTTTGCTTTTGTCTTGTAAGTAATGGGAACATTTCATGAACAGATTTTTGTGTGAGATGATCCCCTGGCAGCAGAGTAAAGGATACACTGGTGATAAAGGGGTGGGCAGGGTGGTAGAAGCGGAGATGAGCAAAGACTGGAGAAAGAAGACATGTGGAAAGGATGATTTAGCCCAGAATTCGGACAGCCTTAAAGTGAAAGATATTTCACATATAAAACAAATAAGAATAAGAGAATTTTGTGAACACTGGAATGTTTAAGGTGAGCTAAAGGAATCCCAGTAAATTCCCCAAATTCCAGACTATGGTCAGTGGGTGGTCTTTTGTGCTCGTGCTGATATGAAATGTACAGCACGAGGAACAGATATTGAGGGGATAGGAAATGAATTCAGCTTGAATGACTGCTTTAAAGATCTGACAGTCAATGATTAAAGTAATTAGAGTTAAAGACTCTAACACAGTTATAATGGTTAACAGTTTACAACACACTCATTTGATTTTTTTATGGAGGAAAGTAATTATCCCCATTTTACACATAAATAAGCTGAGGATCACAGAAGATAGCATTCTTATACAAATCACATGGCTAGAAATGATCAGAAATTTGACTTAAACACATGTGTTCTGACTCCAGGTTCTGAGAGTTCTTCACTACTTCTTAGTATAGGAGAGTGGACTTATTCACATCATTTGGAAAGCTTTGTATCACGGGTAAAAATAAAAATGGTATTCTGGTTATTTCTATTAATTAAAAAACTCAGTTGACCAGAACATTTATGTCAGAGCACACATGTTCCCCCCCGCCAAATGCTGTTATGTCTTATAGCAATTATTTCATATCTGCACGCAGCAGAATCTCCCTCAGAAAACATTAGGACAAAAATATTAACACATACCGTGGCAGTCATTTTGACCCCTAAACAGCTATTTCCAAGATATGATGCCATGAAACTCAGAATTAGCTAACACACTTTTAAATCTGTTTACCTACCAGGGTTTCATTGTATTTTCTTTTTTTTTACCTTTATTTTTTATTGAAGTATAGTCAATTTACAATGTTGTGTCAATTTCTTGTGTATAGCATAATGTTTCAGTCATATGTATGCATACATGTATTCCTTTTCATATGCTTTTTCATTACAGATTACTACAAGATATTGAATTTAGTTCCCTGTGCTATACAGAAGAAACTTGTTGTTTATCTGTTTTATATATAGTAGTTAGTAACATTTCTGAACCCAGAGTGGAAGAGTTAGAAAATGTTCCTTCTCCAGGAGGTCTCTTACCTCTGTTTACCTTTGTGATCCACAGAGCCAGCTGAGAGTCTGTCCAGGGGAGAACCAAAACCAGAGAAGCTTCTTTTCTTCTTTGTTTCAATCACATCATTCTCCAGAGACACAAGTTCATCAAGAAGTAAGAGTTTTGCTGCCAGATCAGTGGCTGATTTCTCTTCCCTGACTGTGGGTGGCGACTGAACACCCGTGAGTCCAGAATCAAAGGCCTAGCGGGCGGGAAGGGTGATCCCGTTCATTAAGAGAGAAAATCTGTACGATCAACTACATTTGGCTTTTGCTATTTTTGGCTGACATGCCTGTCATGACACTTGACTTCTCATGGAGTTATGCTCCAGAGTGAAAAACTTTGGGAGACAAAAACACATAGAGATGAAGTATATCCAGAAGAAATTAAAAGAAAATAAAACACACACACACACACACACACACACACACACAAAGCATGTACTCCAGGCCTGCCTCTCCAATTTAGTACATTAACTAATCCGTCTTGCAGATTCTTTCTCAGTAACAGCTGCCTCCTTCGTTATCACTCCCGTAGCACTGTACCTACACTTCTTGCATCACTGCATTCATTACATTTTCCCTTGTATTAGATCAGCTGCAATGTAATTGTATTGCGTATCAGATTGTGACTAACTTGAGGGCAAAGACTATGTCTAATTAGTCTCTATCCAATGCCTCTCCCAGTATTTCGCTCATAGTTAGCACTTGTAAATTCCTGATGAATATTTATTGAATAAATTCTGAAAAATGTCTAAACCTATGCTATTTTCTTTTTGCCACTCATTCATTCCTTAGTGGCTGGATTGAGCCATTAAATCCAGCGAGGAGACTCTGCATTAGACCCAAGAGATAATAATGAGCAAAATCCAGTCTCTGCCCTGAGGGAGCTTACCATCTCTACCCAAGTGATTTATTCTTATTTTTTTTATTGAAGTGTAGTCGATTTACAGTGCTAGTTTCAACAATTCAGTTATACACATACATATATACATATATTTTCAGTAACTTTTCTTTTATGGCTCATTACAAAAAATTAAATACAGTTCCCTGTGCTATACAGTAGATCGTCGTGGTTTATCTATTTTGTATATAGTAATGTGTATCTGTTAATCCCAAACTCCTAATCTATCACTATGCCCCCTGTCTCCCTTAGTAGCCACACTTTGTTTTCTATGTCTGTGAGTCTAATTTTGGTTTGTAAATAAAATTTGGGTTTTGGGGTCTTTTTTTTTTTTGGATAACTACATATAAGTGACATCATATGATATTTGTCTTTCTCTGTCTGACTTAGTTCGTTTACTATTATACTCTCTAGGTCCATCCATGCTGCTGCAAATGACATTATTTTATTCTTTTTTATGACTGAGTAGTGTTCCATTGTATAAATATACCACATCTTCTTTAGCCATCATCTTGTCAATGGACATTTAAGTTGTTTCCACATCTTGGCTATTGTAAATTATGCTGTTGTGAACATTAGGGTGCATGTGTCTTTTTGAATCATATTTTTCTCAGGATATATGCCCAGCAGTGGGATTGCTGGAGCATATGGAAAGTCTACTTTAAGATTTTTAAGGAATCTCCATATTGTCCTTCCTAGTGGCCACACCAGTTTACATTCCCACCAACAGTGTAGGAACATTCCTTTTTCTCCACACCATCTGCAATATTTATTATTTGTAAACTTTTTAATGATGGCCATTCTGTCCACCCACATGATTTATTAACAACTATTTGTGAGTGTCTGTGATAAGGCAAAGCTAGCCCAATGATTTTATTGTTCCATGTCAAATTTCTTGTTTATTTATTTATTTACACATATTGCCACTTGACATGTCATTCAAGTCATAAAAATGTAGGTGTCCAGTTTGTGAGCCTGTCTTTTCCTTTCTTAGGACCAATCAGAGCATTTTAAAAAATGCTCCTATTAACGATCTGGAGTTATTCTATAGTCCAGGAGATGTGACGTCTTTCCCAGGAGCCTGTGAATGTTCCTCTGTGGGTAGAAACATTAATCACAGGGTTCTTTTCTTCCCTTTTCCTCTTTGGTCACATTCTTGTCAGACTCGGTTTTGGCAAGAGTCTTCACTTCCTTTTTTCTGTTTAAATTATTTATTTCATTCTCTTTCTATTCTCTTCCTTTTTTTCCCCCCAATAAAATGAAAGACTAGCACTTTCGAAGCCTTTTCATCATCTGCTCAGACAGTTCTTGTCTGAAACACTTAGAGTCGGCCTCAAAGCTCTTGAGACTTAAAGCTAGTGAGCTTCCTCTTTCCTAAGCTAACCAAATCTGTACCAAGTCTGGCCAGTTCTTCCTGGAAAACCCCTCTTGGCCTGCTCTTTCTGATTCACATCGATAATGATTTATATCAGACCCTCTTAACTGATTAGTGCACACTCGTCATCACCTTATAACTTATTTATCTCCTCTCTCACTGTCTTTTCTAATCTATCCTGAATGCTGCCATGAAGTTATCCCCAACCATTACTTTCATCAGATATAGAGAAAATTAAAAATCTCTATAGCAATTTGTTATTTACAGTGCAAAGTCCACAATATGGTTCCAAACTCCTCTGAAAATCTCAGCTTCTGTCACTTCCCCATATAAGGTTGGCAACAAGAAACTGAAGAGGGGAAGGATGCTATGATCACGAAAAAGAAACTCTAAAGAGCAGCAGACAAAACTTCAAAGGGCAAAGGTACAAGATCTTTTCTTATCTCTCAGAGTTTCCTCCAAAAAAATGTGTTCATTCTTCCAACTGACATACATACAAAGTAGATTTTTTTTCTTTTTAAAGATATTCTTAATCCTCAGCAAAAAAACACCACAAAACTTGTATAAAATTCATCCTTCAGTAAAATAAATTTCAGACTCCCACTTTATGTTACTTAAGAAGTACAAAGAATGTATGTTTCTATTGAGATGCAATGAGCCAAGTTAACTTTTCTCTGGGTAGAGATGTCCTCACATTTCATTTCCTTTGTAGTTTAGTCTTGGCAGCAAGAAAACATTTGTACAGTGATAATATTTTGGCCAAACTACTCAAATTTTGACATATAAACAAATTCAAACTTTACGGAAAAGCACTTCATCTTTAAGCAACTAACTTAATTATAAATATGGCTGAGATGATAATGAATTTTCTCTTACAGGTTTTGGTTTATGGAATACAAATCTTTGTTATTACTTCTAGTTTTTTTTTTTATCTTAACATTCAGATATCTGGCTTTTTCTGAATCCACAGTGAGAACAAGACATAGAAAGAAATGTCTATTTTCTTTACTTTGTATTATCAAGGCATCTCCCTAGTTGTAAATGGCACCTGTTTCTGACAGTGATAAAAATGGCTAATGTTTATAAGAAATATATGGTCCCTTAAGCTAGTTTCCATTACCTTTGTCGTGACATCCACTGAGAGCACTTTTCCTGAGCTCCAGAGAATCAACGTCAAAGCCAGGATAGAATGTGCACTTGCCAATCTCCAGTCCAGCATCTAAGGGGCACATGCATCAGGGTTCACATTTACTAGTTTGGCATACATACAAAGGTAGAAAACAAAAACTATAAAGCTTGCTATAGGCAGGTGATAAACTAAATTATTCAGCTTCTATGTGCTGGAGTGCACCTTGGGAAAACTTAAATTACGTTTAATAGAAGATGTCAATCTTCCAGAATGAATTCTATCAAGGCTTCATTTTCATGGAAACCTAGACTCAGGTTGTAAAGCCAAAATCATAATTTAATTCAAAGTAATCCACAGCCGAGAAATCTAGTTTGTGTAACTTTATTTTTTGACTGTCTAATCCACAGATCACAAAGTCATATACCTAAGGGAAATGTGTTAGATTGGCTAGGTATGAGAGTCTGAGGCCTGGTAGGGTCTATGGCGAACAAGAGAAAATGTGCCATGTTTAAAAGTAATTAAATTCAAAATTTCAAAAAACACCACAGATCCAGTAGGATAACATCTTTATGTCCTTGCGGTATGTTAGGATTTCTTGAGCAAGACTCAAAAGGTAGATCTCATAGAAAACATTTAAAAATTTCATTATATCAAAATCAAAAAATTCTGCATGATAAGATATAATAAATTACAACAAAAACAAGTTACAGGTGGAATATATTTTCAACAGATATAGAAAAGAAAGATTAGCATTTGGAACATCTAAGTAACTCTGATAAGTAAAATTTTAAAAAGAGACACACAAGTAAGCAAAAATGGGCCAAAATTTATAAGAAGACATGTATCTGAAAGTTCAGTCTCATTGCTTATAGTAGTAAAAACTGAATCAGTCCAACCAACCCAATCAATCCATTACCTTGCTCAAGAAGAAATGGATTTATCAACTGACATATATTCATACTGTGGACTTAGAGCAAGCAATTTAAATTTATGTGTATCTACTCCAAACAAATGACCTAAACATTATGTGTACTTATATGAATGGATTTTTAAGAAAACGGATTTGAGGGGAAATAAGAAGTTCCAGAAAAATCCATATGGCATGCTACCATTTACCTAAATTGGAAATAACACAAAGCAATTTCATTTATTTTGAAATCTATGCATATAATTAAAATATAAACCAACGGAACTTGATTCATGACTATGATTGCTTCTGGGGAGAGTGGGAAGTAAATAAGATTATGGAAGAAACATAAGGGACTCAGGTTTTATCTATGTACATATTTTAAAGCCAACATGTCAAAAGATTACATTTGTCAATTCTGTGTAGTAAGTACAAAGGTGTCTCATTTCTGCACTTAGGAATTTTTGTACTAATAAAACACTGCATATCCAACTAAAGCTTATCTACGATCTGAACCAGGCCTGCTGGCGGCCAGTCTGGCCACTAGTTACAGTGGGAAGCCTCGCTCTGCTGGGAGGAGATCACGGGCTGTCCACCACAACAGAGCGGGCTTGACTTCCCCATTTAGTACGCGACACTTAGCACTCCCTCAAGCCATCCTTTTTGAATGAGAAGTCTCAGTAAACTTTTATTTCCTTAAAAAAAAAAGTATTTGGAAATCTGCAGAGCGTGAAAAGAAAGGAATGCCAAGAGCAAACTGAAAAACTGGATCTGAGACTCATTTTTGCTTCAGTAATTGTATGACCTTGGGTGTGGGTCATTTAACATGAACTTCATTTTCCGTGTTAGTAAAGTGAGGAGTAATTCTCACCTCAGAAGAGCTTTAAGAGGATTGACTTGATTCATGTATAACCTTTTCATCCTGTTTAGTATTTATAATAATGTGTAAGTGAAAGAACATTTATGAGATGTTACTGAATATTTCTTTAGTAACTACATTTTCTTTGGTGTGACCCAAGGTTTTCTTTTATGACATTTCCTTAAAATATTGTTACTGTGAAATCTCAGTGTAGATTTTAGTAATAAATGTATCCTCTGTAATACAGACAAATAAGTGTTCTATGTCGATAGAGTAGCATCTTATTAACCATGCATACTAAGACTTAAAATGGCAATAAAATATTTTAGCATTATCTATATTATTTATTTATCAAATAAAATCTTAATTTTCATGTAATGTAGTCTAAACTAGCTCTTCATTATGTCACCAATTATTCTATTTTGGAATCTAGTCACATAATGTTGGTCACTAGCTGCTTCTCTGTATTCAACACTTTCTGGAAGGGAGCAGGAAATTCTTTGTGTTCTCTTTCTGACAAGTTGATATTTGATATTTGATATTTGAGTTTTTTGGTGAGTATCAAAAAACAATTAATCATGATTATTTCCCTAAATTGAGACAGTAGAAAAATAACAAGAGCAAATGTATCAGTTATCTGGTAAAAATACCAACCCTAAACTGCATTATTTATTCCTTTAAAAAAATCAGCCTTGGAACATATTTTTTTCCTTCTGATTTTGCTGATGTCTCTGACTTTTCTCCACAAAAGGGAAGATATATTAAAAAAAATAACTGTGTTTTTAAAATGATCTCATATTTCTGGCATATCTTTTTTTAAAAAATAGCTCTCTCATTCAATCAAAGATAAACTGCAATTTGCCATGTTTTCCTTCCTTATTTTTTATCATGTTAAAAACAGGTTACAAAGTGTGAAATTGCTCAATTTTATAAGCCTTTCCATGTGGATTTCCTTCAACTATTTTTATGCACATTTTACTAACCAGGTTTCCCTTCATCTCTGCAGTCTTATAAATGGTACAGGATGATGGGTGTTTATAATATTGATGATTATGTCTGAGGCATATATTTTTGTGCTTGGGTGTATATAGGAAAAAAGTCATAATGCATCGTCTTACAGATAACCACATCCTGATTATTTGGATAGGGAGATGTAAAAATAAATGCTGAGTTTAAATACACACATTTAATGGTTTAAAGCCATGCTTGTAGCCAGTTAACCAAAAGGCCAAGTTCCTAAATATGGCAGTTGGTACACTAATGAAAACAAACACCCTGGCACCTGCCACACAAAAGACATTTGATTAACTAGTTGAAACTTGATTGCTACAAAATTAGAAACAGAGGAAATTATAGGGAGGGAAGGAAAAGACTGCGTTCAGCTCTGTTTCCCTATTTTGTTGATAGTGGGTAAATATAGCCAGTGACTTAAAAATCTACTCGGCCCCATGCACGCTCCAGATCGCAGAAATGACACTCAAAGGATATTCACTGTGTGACTACACCATAGTGAAGGTGTTTGCAATTTTTTCAGTACAATGATAATTTTTATTGAGTAATTTCTGAATAATATTCCTCTGATGTGAGGAAGTTTAAAAGGGACAGTGGGCATGGCATCCACCTTATAAGAAGATTAGGTGTGTAACTCATTCATTTTCAGCCAGTTGGTCTACCAAGTGAAACTGTTTCAAAGACTTTTCACATGTAATTCATTATATCCCGAAGGGGTCCTCCAATCTCTGGCGGGAGAGGTGGTGGAGGGAGCAAGGTGGGGAGGTGTGAAGTTTGTCACTGAAGTGTGGGATGCAGCTCTACATATTGTATGTTCCTTTAGAACATCGACAGTGCATACCGACGTTTTAAATGCTCTAAAAGTCCAGTAGTAAAATAACTGGTTTAATTATATTTAAACTAGGATTAAATGAGAAGCCTGTTAAAATGAAGAAAGACATTTGCATTATTGAGAATCAGTGCTGCAATGAGTCATTGTTACTGTGGGAAAAAAAAATCTCTTAAGTGGGCTGAGGCAGAAAAAGAAGAGATTGGCAATCACTGATCCAAGCTCTCTGCCTTTGAGGGCTGATGCTGAAGAGAAATAAATCACTCAGGTGACTAAGGAAACTGCTCTTCAACAACGTCTGACTTAGGGATAGTAGATCTAACCACTAGAAACTCACAAGAGGACTGAGTTTTGGAAGTGAATCTTGATGATTTTTGGGAATTTCTTATTTATCCTAAGTTCTTGACTGGAATTATTCAAAATAGACTCTATTCACCTTATTTTCAAAAGAAATTAAAAATAAAGACTTAATTAAAGGTAAGTGACTTAAAAAGTAATTAAACTTAAAAAAAAACTTTCTCCTTCTACTTTGACATTGCAGACATTTAAGTGAGATTTAACAGGACGTGATATGAAGGGTCCCTAGTTCTGACATGGGGAAATGACTGCGTGTGCCTGCACACAACCCTCCCACAATCTCCTTTCTCTGAAGGTGGAGGTGGTCTCCTAGGCAAGTGGTGAGTCAGCTGGGCCCCCCAGTAAATTTGTTAAGAAGGAGTGAGTTCTTCAATGTACCTTTACCTGCCCCGTAAAGTTGTGATCACTCAGGTCATTTTGATAACAGAGAAAAGCTTCCAGGATAGTAGATAACAGAGTATCTGTCATTTTTTATTTTAAAATTAGACTTGAAGGATAGGGCTAATGACTTTGCTGTGCTAGATGACCTTAAGCAAGAGGCTTAAATGGTCAAAATTGTCTAAGGAAACTCATTTTATGAATTAACAACATTCTAACTAATTAATTTGAATTGAAAACTATTTAATTAATTCACAAAAAAGGTACGATGGTTAACACACCATCTGTGTGGCTTGTTGTGGTAGAGAGGGACCTGATCCAGGGGTTCTGAGACTCAGGCCCTGCCTTGGCTCCACTGCTCTTTCACTGAATGATTTGGGGCAAACCCTTTCCTCTCCAGGCTGAGGACAATGAGCTTAGTCTCCCTGCCCTCTAAAGTTGCTTTGAGCTTCCATTAAGTCTGAATCTGGCTCTTTTCTGATGAAAGCACAGATTCTATATATAGGTCATGACAATAGTTGGTATAGGTTTGGCTGGGAAAATCTTTCTGCTGTCCCTCAGATTTGCTGAGTATATGCATAGGAGTTGCACCTAGGTATTCACATAAATATGCTCCTCTTGAATTTTTAGTATTTCTAGCTGAAAAGAGGAGCCTTTAAATCTTTGATTTTCAGATGTCATTTATGGTAAGAGAT